GCAATTTTCAGTCCTCCAAGCTCCATCATGGTAAGTGCCCTATACAGGTGTACCATTTTTTAATCTTTTATACCATATTTTTACTATGCCTCTTCTGTGTTTAGGTGTGCTTAGGTACACAGATACTTACCATTGTGTTAGAGTTGCCTACAGTGTTCAGTACAGTAGCATACTGTACAGGTTTGTAGCCTAGGAACAATAGACTATACCATGTAGCCTAGGTGTGTAGTCTTATTGTTGAGACCTGTGGCATGTGTCCATCTTTACCTGCAAGGCAGGCTGGGGAAGTGGACATATAGTTTTTTCAGTCCTGATAGTAGAGGCAGCCAAGAAGAAGGTAGTTGAGAATGGATATTGGGGCAGCTAACTTAAAAGATTTGCCACAGAAAGATGATTGGAGTTTAAAATTGTTTTAGTCCTGGGGCAGAGCGGATTGTCAGGTTTCAGAACTATTGCTGTAACACTGTATTGCTTTCTTCATATTGTTGCAGTCAATGCATAATTGAACTTTCCTTTGCCAATCAAGGGAAAAATGGAATCTTCTCTAATGAGCAAGATTGAGCATTTATTCATATGTTGAAATACCACTTGTATTCACTTCACTGAATTACGTTCACGTCCTTTGCCCACTTTTTAAGGACTTTATTGTTATCAATATTATACCTGTACAGAATCTGAAGAGCCAGCTAGTTTTAATAGTTTCAATTTTAGGCATTACCTTCCATCTTAGAATAGAAGGATTTAGTTTACCTTCCTTTACCCCACCGCATGCATGCCTGCTTCCCATCGTCCCTCAATTTTAATCACTGTTCACAGTTTACATTACCGTGTATTCCATCTGTAGCTGAGCCATGGAGTAAGGTACTCAAAAGTGTGGTCAGGAGTCCAGCAACACTGGCCTCTGGGAGCTGTGAAAAATGTGGACTCTGCCCCAGCCCAGAATTCAAACACATTTTAACAAGATCCCCAAGTTTTGTTTTATTTCCAAATGACTTATTTCTCAAAGTAATTTACTATATAGAAAAAATGGAAATTTAGATATAGAAAGCCAGCGCCTAGTTTTTATCACTATCCCCACAAACTCATACATACACTAAGCTGCTATAAATTTATATTTATGTACTTAGCACACATTAAAGTTTAAGAAACTGAAGTCTGCTATGGGTATTCTAGGCTCATGTTTTCCTTGGAACTGTTCTTTTTTTTCTTTTATTCGCTTAGTTTTCTGAGTATTACTTAACTACAAATTATCAGTTGTTAAAATGTCCTTTCAAAAAGTTTGTTCACATCAGGTAATTTGTTAATCTCATTGTAAATAAATCTCTTTTGGAGCCTTTTCCTGGCTCTAATCTGCTGGTCACGCGATAGGCCTAGTGCATAGCCTCAGTTTCCCTTCACCATCACTCGGAGTGGGATGCCATTGCTTTGCTGTTTTGGATATCCTGTATTAGTGTGTCCTGGTATTCCTCTTTCTTGGGTTCTTTTGTGCAACCCATCTTCAGGACCTTCCTGGAAAAAATGCAAGGGAGGTGAATGTTCTTAGGCCTTGCATGTCTGAAAGTGTCATCATTCTATCCTCCCACTGTTCAGCCAGTTATAGAATTGGCCTTGGAAATCATCTTATTTCAGAAGTTCAAGGGCATTACTTCATGGTCTGCTGACTTACGCTGTAGTTGAAGGGAAATCCAAGCCATTCTAGTTCATGGTCTCTGTGACCCACATTAATCTTGTTGAAACCTGCCACACAGTGTTCTGAGGTATCACAATAGTGTGCTTCATGTGGGTTGTCTTTGTCCTTTGTGCTGGTACTTAATGGGCCCTTTCAATCTGGAAACTTGTGTTAAGTTCTGGGAAGTTTTCTTGAAATTTCATTGATGATTTTCTTCCCTTTCTGATCTTTGTTGAACTCCTGATTTGAATATTGGATGTGATGGACTAGTCCTCAAATTTTCTTGTCTTTTCCTTCTTATTTTCATTTCTTTGCCTTCATGTTCTATTTCTTAGAATTCTTCAGCTTTATCTTTCAACCTTTCTGTTGAATTTTTCATTTTTCTTGTAATTTCAACTTGTCTAAGCTCTCTTGTCATCTGAATGTTTCCCTTTTTTAGCATTTTATAATTTCATATTTCTCAGATTATGATTTATATTTTCTAATTTTTTTCGTGTTTATTTTGATCCCTGTCATGTTAAGTGGCTTTCCTTAGATTGGTGGTTTTTTTCAGAGTGAAAGATCAAAAAGCTGATGGGAAGTTCTGAGCACACAAAAAGGGCTTGCACACTAAGTTTCACTGAAGGGGTATCAGGCTGAGATGTTTTCTGGGAAATTTTCAAGAGCAGAGGTGTTTTTCTCTTAATCTGATCTGCTTCCCCCGAGAGAATAAGGGTCTGGGAGCCTAGTGGGAGAAGGCAGGGTGGGAAAATGGGTCTTGGCTTCTAGTCACCCAAACCTGTTTTTAACACAACTTCCATCCTCAGCTCTGCCTGTGTTCCCCCACTCCAAAGATCCTCTTCCTGTGTGCAAAACATAAACCTCGTCTTGTGCTCGAATAGGGGCAGGGTAGTTTTTTACCAGCCCTCCTTATTTTAGTTTCCTCCCAACACTGATTGCTCTTTACAGTTATTTTGATAATGGGTGTGACTTTATAATGAAATTTCTATATCCAGACAGACTAGGTAAAGCCTGCAGAATAATGCCCCCCCCCCC